GGGATGATCAAGTCTACTGACAATACGCTCATTTTTTCCTTCGGAGCATTACACGGAGCCTTTCAAAGGGAACACAGGCTAAAACCTGCAGCTTACGAGGCAATCTGTGACAGCCTCCCGCATGTGCCCAGGCCACAAAGATTACTACAGAAATCAGAGCTCTAAAACATCAGTAAAAGAAACTGGTGTTTTTAAGGATTGTTAATGCCCAGTGTTTTGATCAATATGTGTGACTACTGTCATGCAAGCAAGTTTTCATTTAATAAAAACGCTTCCTTGCAGGAGGTAATACAGAGTTAGGAATGTCGGCTGATTAACAGCGATCTTCTAAGTCTGCTGAGCGACGTGACCCACACTTGCTGTTTCTGTTTGCTCCCAAGCACTGCATGCGAGTAACGTTAAGTACGGACTTACGTCAACACCACTGTTACAGTACAGCAAGTTAGGGGTAATTTTCTTCTTTGCCTGCTCAGCGAAGCCATCACTGTGATTATTGCTAGAGCTGTAAGTTTAGTTAACCTTGTGTGAAAATAGTTCTCACTTCAGATCGGGCACTTTCCCTCAAAATAACAGAAAATGCAAGACATCTCACAAAATTGGATGTACCAGGGGCCCTGGGTTTTAAGTGGACACTGCTCTGGAAAACAAGTGCAAATGGGTTTGGAGGCAGCTCTTGTGGAGGAGAAATAAAGGACAGAGAAACAAACGCAAGCGGAAACATGCAGCATACTCTGAGCAGCCTCGGGATGCAGTTCTGGGGGACCCCAGGCACTGAGCTCTTTACTAGGGGCCATTTGCAAATACATCATTGCACAGCTCTCCCCACACTCCAGAATTCTTGTACACAAACTGAGTTATGTCAAAATTCTCTAATGCCATTATTCATCTCTTCTCATTGGTTAAACAACCTATATGACCCTGAATTTTGAGTAGCCAAGCATCTCAAGAACATAGAAAGGTAAGAATAGGAAACACCAGTGGCAAACTTAAACAAAAAATTGTCTGATGGATATATATATATATACATGGATGTATGTATTTCCATATATGCATATGGATATGCAGCAATAGAAATCACAAATTAGAAAGGAATTAAGTTTTTCCAGGTATTTCTAGAGTAGTCTAGCACCCTATCTGTATTAGGGAAATGTGTACCAGTACACTAAATGGATGCAATGACACCAGTGTAAAACACTGATGAAAATATAAACCACCAATACAATGGTCTATTACGCTAAATGCTGAAATAAAACTTGTTTATAAACACAAATCCCAAATACCACTCTTATGCGTTATATCAGCATATATATGAATGTGAATGTTAACTGTCAACAGTTCCTTTGTAATGAGCCTGTAACAAAAGTGGACAATAGTCTAAGCATGCAGAAAGGCATGCAGAAAATATGGTTTGCTAGCTAACAAGCTGTATTTCCTACTTCCTAGGAAATCAGTGCACAAACAGCTCCTGATTTCCACAGACTCCAGGCACTCATTCATCTGTGGTTTTACATCACCTCATGCACAAAAATCTACAGTGTTTATGTACCTATGTGCGTCAGCTACAAATGACCAGCACTCCTGGTTTTTTCTTCTGCCTTATCTGACATTCAGTTCTCAGTAGTCTGCACTGGAAAATACAGTCTGGATATCTGGCACAATTCTTCCACTCTGCTGCAGAGTGTGTCCATAATACCAGAAGGCATCAATGAGGGGCTCTGCATCGGCAAATAGTGCCAATTCTACAGGCCAGCACTCACATCATGCTTCAAAAGTCATTAATGCAACGCAGTAGTATTGCCAGCAGACATTTTCCCAAGTTTTACATGAATTTATTTTTCTAGTGGAAAAATAAGGTGG